ATCTTCTTTTGCTGTTGCTTCCTCCTCCTCCTCCTCTCCCTCCCCCTCCCCCTCCCTCCTCCCCCTCCCTCCTCCTCCTCCTCTTCTACCTCTTCCTTCTTCTTCCTCTTCTTCCTTCTTCTTTCTTCTATTGTTGTTGTTGGTCGTGGGGCCTGAACTCTGGGCCTGGGTGCTGTCCCTCAGCTCTTCAGCTGAAGGCTAGCACTCTACCACTTGAGCCACAGTGCCACTTCCAGCTTTTTCTGCTTATGTGGTACTAAGGACTCAAACCCAGGGCCTCATGCATACAAAGCAAGCACTCTACCACTGAGCCACATTCCCAGCCCAAAAATGCATCTTCCAGCATGTTTGCCTCTGCTCAGATCAGATGTTATCATCCAAATTTAATTCCTTCCTCTCAGGATACTAATCTTTGTCCACTTCCTCCCACCTATTTTTTGGTGAGCGTGGGGGTGGGGGTGTGCACGCAGGAGCACGCATGCACACACGTGTGCTGAGGCTTGAACTCAGAGTTTCATGCCCTTCCACTTGAGCCACACTTCCATTTCTGGCATTTTGATTAGCTGGAGATGAGTCGCTTGGATTTTTCTGCGTTGGATCTACCTTTGAGCTGTCACCCTCAGATCTCAGCCTACTGAGTAGCTACGATTACAGACAAGAACCACCAGCACCCTGCCACAGCCACTACCACCACCTCCTCTTCTTCTTTTTTCCCCCTTTTTCTTTTAATTTGGCACTAAAGATCAAACCCTGGGCATCATGCATGCTAGGCAAGTGCTCTGCCATTGAATTATATTCCCAGCCTAAAGTTCAAATTTTGTTTTATTCTGTTTTGTGGTGCTGTAAACTGTATAGGTCCTTACAGATGCTAAGCAAGCACTCTATCCCACTGAACTATACCCACAATCCTTTGGGTATTTTTTTTTTTTAATTCTTCTTCTTCAATGCTGGGGAATGAACCCAGGACTTTACACATGCTAGGCAAGCTCTCTACCATTGAGCTACATCCCCTGCCCCCAAATTCTCTCATGTTTTTGTTTTTGTTTTTTGGGTTTTTTTTGCCAGTCATGGGGCTTGAACTCAGGGCCTGGGCACTGTCCCTGAGCTTCTTTTGCTCAAAGCTATCACTCTACCATTTGAGCCACAGTGTCACTTCCAGCTTGTTTCTGTTTATGTGGTACTGAGGAATAGAACCCAGGGCTTCATGCGTGCTAGGCAAGCACTCTACCACTAAGCCACATTCCCAGTCTCACCCCCGTAGTTTTCTTTTTTTTTTTTTCTTTTTTTTTGGTCCGGTCGTGGGGCCTGAACTCTGGGCCTGGGCGCTGTCCCTCAGCTCTTCAGCTCAAGGCTAGCGCTCTACCACTTGAGCCACAGTGCCACTTCTGGCTTTTTCTTTTTGCTTATGTGGTGCTGAGGAATCGAACCCAGGGCCTCATGCATGCAAGGCAAGCGCTCTACCACTGAGCCACATTCCCAGTCTCACCCCCGTACTTTTCTTTGTGTGCATACATGCTCCCCTCCAGGTTAGTGTGTGTGAAGCAGGGTGTGAACTGAGCCCACGAGAGGCATGGGAACCAAGCCAGAGCCTACCTCTCGCAGATCCTCCAGCCCATACTCCAGGGCCGCTGTCAGCACCTCCAGCACCTGATTGGGAGAGTAGAAGAGTTTCCCCCATCCCTAAGCCCACTGCATGATGGGAGGACACCTGCTTTTTATACCCCCAGCATCTCCCATCCCCAGGCCACTGCTTAGTGGGCTCACAGAATGGCGGTGCAGTGTGACACTGTTGGTATACAGGAACTCCAGCACTGCCAGGAAAGCCTCAGCTGGCACAGTGCTTAGCACCACAGGACTAGGTACCCCAGAATCCAGGTCTGTACTCAGAAGTCTCTGGAAGAAGTTGCATCTACAGGCCAGCAAGCACCGGTGGGCAAATACCTCCTGCCGCTCTTGACCAACTACAAAGCGAACATCACTGAGGGAGAGAGGTGGGGGAGAAGAATCCTGAGCCTAGAGTACAGCTTGGCTTTTCCTCCTGCCTACTATGACTTTGGGCCTTAGTTTCCTTGAGTATATGTAAGAAATAGGGCTTAGGAAGTAGCCCTGTGGCTCAAAGTGATGAGTGCTAGCCTTGCCGGGCGCTGGTGGCTCACGCCTGTAATCCTAGCTACTCAGGAGGCTGAGATCTGAGGATTGCAGTTCAAAGCCAGCCCGGGCAGGAGAGACTGTGAGACTCTTATCTCCAATAAACCACCAGAAAACCGGAAGTGGCGCTGTAGCTCAAGTGGTAGAGCGCTCGCCTTGAGCTGAAGAGCTGAGGGACAGCACCCAGGCCCAGAGTTCAAGCCCCATGACCGACCAAAAAAAAAAAGAGTGCTAGCCTTGAGCAAAACACTCAGAGATGATGCCCAGGGCCCAAGTTCAAGCTCCATGTTGGACAAAAAAAGAAACAAAGATTTAGCCTTCAAGCAGGAGATCTGGACACTGGCCTGAATTCTAATCCCAGCTCTACCCTATACTAACGTAGTGATTTTCTATCTGCATCTTGGGCTTTTCACCCAGATCTCACTGGAGGTGCTCACGCTTTATCAGGACTGATGCAAGAAGGTTCCCACCACCCTCCTCACTAGTCTTAGCCTTAAGGGTAGAGGAAACTTCTTGACTCCCCCTCTTCATCTGGCTGCCAACTCAGCTTTTTTCAGCCCTCCTCCAGAAAAATGTGGGTGTGGGATGCAGAGTGTGAAAACAGACTGCAAACAAACATAGAATGGTGATGTACTGAGGTCAGACCACATTTTCCATCTTCATGATCACTTCCGGCCCCAAACTCTGGGTGTCTAAACAAGGTAAGTCAGTAGAAGGGAGGAGGAAAAAATTGAGCTTCCTGGAGCCTCCTATAGTGTCCCAGGCTTAAGAGCCGGTGTTTCCCACTACTCAGGCCAGACTCTGACACCCACCCCCTCCCGCTCCGCCTCCCGCTCCAAGAAGCAGGGTTGTGGGAACCACTGACCCTTGGAGAAGAGTAAAGCTTTGAGAGGATGGCATCCTGACTCATGCTGCCCCAGTAAACTCTAGCCCTGGTTTCAGACAGCACTAACATCTTACCCAATCAGTGGATGGTCAGCACCCTCGAACTACTTCCTGTCTAGGTCAATCCCTTGAGCTTTCTTCCTCTTGCAAATCCGCAGTTCCCACAACAGTCATCTACTCCTCTGCCTCTTCAAGAAAGGAGGCCTTCACACTAGCTGAGTATTGTCTGGGGGAGAGTCAAGTTACATCCCACCCCTCTAGATCCAGAAATGAAGGCTCTTTGCCAGAATCAGAGAAGGACAGGCTTTGCCTGAACTCACACAGCAGCCCCAGACTCCAGTTCCTTCTGTTCCCCACCTCTGGCACTCAGAATACCTTGGTCACTGAGTGGCCAGCAATCATCTTCTGTATTTGATGTCCCCATAGACTGAGTCCCCTGGTGAGGGAGGAAGGCCAAGTCCTCACTCCCCACCTCCTCTTCACCCAGGGCCTCCCTGGTAGGAGACACAGGCCTAACAGAGCCAGCCAGGGAAAACTCACCAACCAGGCCCACTCCCTCACCTGTATCGAGGGTTGTTGACAAGGCTCCGGAGTGCTGTAGAAAAGGGCACAGCCTGTCCACGCACAGTCAGGCCTGCCGTCTCCATGGGTGAGATGGGGTAGGGGGAGAAAGACTGAAGGGGCCTAGGAGGCCCGCTGCGGCTTCTGGTCTGTGGAAGACTTGGCCAAGGCCCTAGAGCCAGCCTGGAGACCGGAGAGGGAGGGGCGGGGCCCACAAGGCCTGTCTGTTGAGAAGCTAAAGTTTAGGGAGGAAAAGCAGCCCAGGTTGCTAAAGAAAGCGGTAGAGACCCATAGAGGAAGCCAGAGGCTCCCTGGATGGTGACGAACACAGAGGAGGTCCTGGGGAGGCCAATGCTGGATCAGTCTGTGGTCTTGGGAGAATCTGCTAGCAACAAGGCCCAGGCTGGGAGCCTGCCCAGGCAGCAGCTGGTAAGAAGCCTGTGGGTTTCCATGGAAACAGCAGGGCCTGGGGAAGCCCCGCCCATCTCCTTCCAGTCCTAGGGCAAAACCTCTCAGCCTGTGGAAGGGCCCTAAGCTGAGTCTGAGAATCCTAGCACTGGCCCCTGCCTGTTCTAGATTCTCAGAGTTCAAGCCCCTTGTCTTCCTAAGTCCTTCCAACAGGCTCACAAGTTAAATCTTGGTTGGGGAGGCAGAGGAACCCACCTCAACAGGGAAAAAAACCTCTTTGGGTGGTTTTCAGGACTTAGATTTAGCTGTGCCATCCTTCCATGAAGAGGATCTTCAGCTCCTGAAGTGTCAGCTGTGTCATTGCCACTAGCATTCCTGAAATGCAATGCTGGAGGGGATACTCTAGGTACTGAGGCAAGCAGAAGATATGCCAGCTCAGGACAAGCCCCAGGGCACCAGGATCAGTCAGCAACGGTCAGGAGATTGGATTTGAATTCATTCCTGAATCACAGCAGTCTCAGGCCAGCTTCTCCTAAGCTGAGTCTACGGGCCTCTCCTCCCCCCACCTACAGCCCAGAACTGAGGAAGTCATCCAAGCCCCACCCTAGCTCTGCCTGGAGCGGAAATCTGTCCTCCTAGAAGCTGACAGAGGAACCATGACATGTTCTTTCCTGTGGGCCCAGACTCTGCATTCCTGAGCAGCCACCCCAGCAGCCTAAGGCTTTCCCCTACCCTAGGCCCCTGTGACTCACAAATGGCAAGTCATCTGGGCATTATGTACAGAAATGGACAACAGCTCAAGAGCCCTGAGACCAGATACCTTTCTGACCAGAGACCGTCTCTACATCCTCTTTCCTCTTCTTGTTGGTCCATAGTAACAGGTCTTTAAACTTCAGTCCCTCAAGGAGTTCTTGGGCTCCTTCTCCCCCATAACTAACTCAGGGGCATGCCACCTTTGACAGGTGCTCATAGTAGTAACAATCTGGTTATTCCAGAGTCGGGCCAGAGGGAGGAACTTTGGGAGGGAGGTGTCCTTGCCATGGCAGCCATGGCAACTGCACAACACAACCCTTCCCCGCCCACCCTGCAGTCAGGTCGGGCTGGGCCAGCCAGGTGAGAACTCAGAAGCCAAAGGCTACAGGTGACTCAGGTGCCTGAAGGAGTTTCGGGAGAAGAGAACAGCCATCCCACAAGTTGATTCTGTAGGTGGAGTCAGAAGCCAGAGCTGAGAGTGGAAGGTGCCCCAGAGGTCATCTGGCCCCAGCTTCAGCCTGCTGCAGGAACCTTCTGAGTGCCTACCCAAAGCAGGTAGGATTGGAAGATGGCTGGATTCATTCAGTACTTCCTGGGTTAGAGGGATCTGTGGGGAAGGAGCTGGGTGCTGATATCTCATGTCCCCCTGTAATACTAGGTACTCTGGAGGCTGAGATCTGTGAGATGGGAAGATCTCCATTCAAAGCTAGCCCTAGCCAAAAATTCCATCAGACTCTTATCTCCAACTAACCAGCACTAAGCTGGGAATAGAGCTGTGGTGCAGTGCTAGCATAGAGTAAAAAAAGTACAGAGACAGCGCCCCACACTCAAGGACCAGAATAAACAAAAGATTAGGAACATCATTTCCAGCTAAGTGCCAGTGGCTCATGCCTGTAATCCTAGCTACTTGGGAGGCTGAGATCTGAGGATCATGGTTCAAAGCCAGCCCAGGCAGGAAAGTCCATGACATGCTTATCTCCAATAAACCACTCAGAAAACCGGAAGTGGTGCGGAAGTGGCGCTGTAGCTCACGTGGTAGAGCGCTAGCCTTGAGCTGAAGAGCTGAGGGACAGCGCTCAGGCCCAGAGTTCAAGCGACACACACACACAAAAAAAAAAAGAGGGGCTGGGAAGGTGGCTCAGTGGTAGAGCACTTGCCTTGCATGCCTGAGGCCCTGGGTTCGATTCCTCAGCACCACATAAGCAAAAAGAAAAAAGCCGGAAGTGGCGCTGTGGCTCAAGTGATAGAGTGCTTGCCTTGAGCTGAAGAGCTGAGGGACAGCGCCCAGGCCCAGAGTTCAGGCCCCATGACCGGACCGAAAAAAAAAAAGACATTATTCGGCCGGGCTCTGGTGGCTCAAGCCTGTAATCCTAGCTACTCAGGAGGCTGAGATCTGAGGATCATGGTTCAAAGCCAGCCCGGGCAGGAGAGACCGTGAGACTCCTATCTCCAATAAACCACCAGAAAACCGGAAGTGGCGCTGTGGCTCAAGTGGTAGAGCGCTCGCCTTGAGCTGAAGAGCTGAGGGACAGCGCCCAGGCCCAGAGTTCAAGCCCCACGACCGACAAAAAAAAAAAAAAGAAAAAAAAGTGGCGGGGGTGGGGTGATATCACCAAGCAATACTTGAGTATAGAAAGAGCTGGCCAGTAAAAGCCACTCAAAGTGTGGGTCTTTTAGCAGGCAAGTCCATGGCTGGCAGGTGTCTGTCTCCTGGACACCAGGAAGAAGAGAGTGCCAAAGACCCAGTGCCAAAACTACCATCAGTGCGGCCAAGAAGCCGCCTGCCCAGCATTGATGAGACCAGACAAACGGGTGTAGGCCCTGCCTCCCGCCGTGGTTCAGTGCTGGGCCTAACCATGTCCCTCTCACACCGAAACTCGCTGGCTGGATCAGGAACTGGTCATGGAGGTCGGCGACAGTCCTTGGGCCCAGTGCCCCCTCTTGGCTGGCGGGTCAGTTTCTCAGGCCTGCCCCTAGGGCCTGTCCGTCGAGTGGCACCTTCATACCGTATGGAGCCTGCACCAGGGGAGCGCTGGGAGACTGCACGTGCACAGCGTGTCCTGGAGGCAGTGTTGGATAAGAGGCTATGCAACACCAGCTACTGTGGCTTCGAGGCCGGGCAGCTGGCACGGGAGCTGTGTGAGCAGGTGCGCCTGTGCCTGCGCGAGCTCAGCCCACCTCGTTACAAGCTGGTGTGCAGCGTGGTGCTGGGGCCACGTGCAGGCCAGGGCGTGCACGTGGTCAGTCGTGCTCTGTGGGATGCAGCGCATGATGGGCTGGCCTCTGCTACCTTTACGAATGCCTCACTCTTCGCGGTGGCCACAGTCCACGGGCTGTACTGTGAGTAAGCAGACCTCCCTCCAAATTCTGTAAAATGGTTTATTATCCCCGGAGGAAGCCCCCCAGGGGCTCACATCCCAATAAATAAATGTTTGTCAATAAATAAAAGTGGTCCATAAATAATACCCCCTAGCTGGGGGCTAAGGCTCAGGCTTAACTCAGAGAAGGGGTAAGAAAGGACAGGCTGCCCCTAACTCCAGTAAAGCTGGTCCCTGATTCCCTGGGGGGATTCATCCAGGAGCCCCCAGTGAGGCACCAAAGGGACAGGGAGGGCCACAAAGGCAAGGGCCAGAGTCTTGCAGGCACAGGCCTCAGTCTTGAGAGCTTGGGTCCCGGCCTGCTCTGCAGGTGAGGGTCTAGGCGGGACTGCGGTCACGGAGCAGGCGCAGAGCATAGCGGAGTCGCTGCCGCAGGTCTGGGGAGCAGCCCAGCTGCCGGAGGTGGGAGGCGAGGTAAGTACAAGCACTTCGATTCCGGGCCACAAAAGTCACAAGGAGGGGCTCCCAGCCACTGAGGATCAGCTTGGTGTGGTCCCCGTAAAAGTTCACCTGTGCACAAGAGGGTGACACTGTTCAAGCCTTGTGCTACAGGCCCAAAAGACTTTTCCTGGCATTCTGGACCTCCCAGTCCTTCCATCCAACTCCAGCATGGACTCTTACCTGGACAGTGCCATCGCTAAATATCATGAGTAGGGCTTGATCAGTCTTGACCCACTGCAGCAGCAAGGGTGGAGCAGGTACCTCTACCTCTTCCACACTGGGCAAATCTCCACCCTAGGAGCAAAGGCAGGGGCAGGTCACTGAGCTGACCAGAGTCGGACCCTGCCCCACTGATGAATCCCTTACCAATCAATGCTAGCTGTGTCCTCCCATCCCCACCAAAGGGGAATCGGAAAGGATCAGGATGTTGGTTGTTGTCCACATGGCTCCGCCCAAACCAAGTACCTTCATGAGGTGCTGTTCCATGTAGGAGGCAAAATACCGCAGGATGCCCAGCTGAGGCTGCAGGGCCCGGGGCACAGCACCCACAGAAAACGAAAAGTGCTTTGTACTGGTAGGGTTGTAGTGCACAGTCCTAGATGGGAGGGGGGCAGAAATCAGAGATAGCCCTGCACCCGTGTTCTTCCCCTGGGAAACTCCAGGCCCCTGTACCCAGGAACATATTCCAAAGTGCAGCCTTGTGGGTTCTGGGCACCCCACAACACTTACTTTCTATTGGCGGACAGGGCCATGTGTGTGCCGTCGTTGAAGAGCACAGCTACACGACGGCTGGACAGTTGATAGCCAAAACCAAACTTGTTGGAGTAGTCAACCCACTTACTGACCCACACGAGAGGCTCTGGCTGTGCCAGTGGAGCTGGGTTCTGGTCGGCTGTGTCCAGAAAGGAGGAAGTGATGACTTAACCCTTGGCCAAGGCCAAAGAATTCCCCATATCATCCCCATGTACCAGACCCCAGCCTCACCTGGGGGCATGAAGGCCACACAGTTTCTCAGAGCACACAGGGCTGACTCTACCACCGTAGCCACAGTCAGACCCTCTTCAAACCCTGAAGGGAACAGGACGCTGCTGAGATTTAGGCATTAACCTCCCTACCCCAGACCTAAGCCAAATCCCTCTTGTCTTCGCTCCAGTCACTTGTGTCCACCCCAGCAACATCATAGGACTTGTAATCCTCCCTGGCTCCTCACCATCTCCGGTGCTTGCCAGTGTCCCCCGGGGGGAGCTGTCTTCAGCTGCTGTCTCTACCAGGCTGATAGGGGCAGGACCAGAAGCTGCTGGATCCTAGAGGGTTTGGATAAGGAGAGCAAGTGAAATCGGTTCCACAATCCAAATCCTTGAAAGTCCAGGCCCAGCCTGGCCCTGGCTTCCAGGGCACCTCAGGTCAGTCCTAGCTAGCTAATGAGATGTAGCCAATTAGCCTACCACGAGGCTGGATGCTTCATCAGCCTTTTATCCCAGGCTTCCCTCAGCTGCTAGGGCAGGAATGAGTCAGAACAGTGCCACGTGAGCACTCACCTCGGGCTTGGCATCTGGATGGCCAATGGATGTGCGCATAAGGCCGCTCACCAAACACGACACTTCGTCCCGCTCCTCAGGGTGGCTCTTATCTGAACGTGAGGGAGAATATAGCCCTCAGTTTCCTGTCCAGCCCATGTGCCCCAGGGATGGCACAGACAGGCCTTCCCAAGTACTTGGGCAACAAACACCCCGCTCCAGGAGTTCAGATGCCACGCTCCCATGCCTACAAAGTGGATATAATAAGCTGACCAACTGTGTATAACCAGTACTGAAGTTTTGAGTTCAGGGCCTGGGCACTGTCCCTGAGCTTTTTTTGCTCAAGGCTAGTGCTCTACCACCTGAGCCACAGCTCCACTTCCAGCTTTTTGATAGTTAATTGGAGATAAGAGTCTCGTGGACTTCCCTGCCCAGGCCAGCTTCAAGTTTTGATTCTCAGAGCTCAGCTTCCTGAGTAACTAGGATTCTAGGAATAAGCCACTGGCATTGGCTGACTGCCTGCTCTTATACCTCAGCCCACTAACACCCCAGACTCACTTTTGTTCTTCTTCCTGCCAAACAGGCTCTTGGTAACTTTGGCAAAGAGACTTCTGGCTGGGTTGGGAGGCGTCAGATCTGGGACTGTCACGCAGCTGCTCACAGGGAGCCGGTCAGGGGTATAGCCCTAAGGAGGAGAGCCATGTCAACAGAGAGACCCCAAGGGTCCTTCCACCTGTCTCCATTTATCCTTCAGGAACATGCAGACTGAACTCAAACGTTAGGTGACAGACCTTGGTAAAGAAATCATGGCGCAGGATCTGCTCAATAGAGGGGCGGTCTCGGGGTGAGGCTCGTAGGATGGCAGCCAGGAGCTGCCGAGCGGGCAGCGAGAGGCTGGCAGGCAGAGTGTAGTGAACCTGTTTGATGCAGCGGTACGTTTCCTTCAGGTCAGCTGTCTCAAAAGGGGGGGTCCCACACAGCAGTGTGTACCTGTGGGCCAAGGATAGGGATCAGGAGCAATGAAGTAGGAAGAGCCTTCCACTAACCACCACCTGTCTGCCAATGACTGTGTCACTCACATGACGCAGCCCAGTGACCACACATCTGCCTCAGGGCCATGGCCCTGTCTCAGCAGCACTTCTGGAGCCACGTAGTTGGGAGTGCCACAGATGGTCCTGAAAGAGGGTAGGAAAAAGAGGGGAGGGTTCAGATCCAGCCCAGCAGCCCCCATTCCTGCCCCCACTGTGAGTCCAGACAAAGCAGCTGCCTGTCACCAAAGGCCAGAGAGCTCCTGCTTGTCTTGAGACAATGGATGCTGGGGATGGCAGCTGAGTCCCCGCCCACCCGCCTGGCCCAGCTGCTCAACTGCTCAGTAGGACAGGGGGAGGCCCTGACCCCCAAGCAGCCCCCTCCTCCAAGGTCAATACAAAGGGTCCATGAACTGATCTCATCCTCGACTCCCGTCTGTCAGAAACTCATCAGGCTCCTTCCATGGTCTGTGCCATACCCACACCAACACTAGCTCTCACACACACATCCCAAACACTCATCTGCCACACATGCTATCTGTGTTATACACACCCAGTTATAGTAGCCACAGTGGGGTCATCTTTTGTGTGTCTATGTGTGTGCACCAGTACTGGGGCTTGAACTCAGACCCCCATACTCTTGCTTAGTTTTTTTACTCAAGGCTACAGCCCTACCATTTGAGCCAAATCTCCACTTCTGGCTTATTGATGGTTAATTCAAGATAATAGCCTCTTGTACTTGTCTGCCTGGGACAGCGCTGAACCTCAATCCTCAAATCTCAGCCTTATGAGTAGCTAGGACTATAGGTATGAGCCACCAGTGCCTGACCTCCCAGTAGTCTTCTTACACAGAAGATCAAGTTCTGTCATTCCTACACTTAGTCTCCTTCACACATGTACACACTGCCTGGCTCATGTTACCATCCCCATCCATACACAGGCTCAGTTATACAATTCAAAAGATCCTATACACATACAACCTCTTCCTCCCCTGCCCCCCAGGAACTTAGGTCACCTTCCCCATCTGTATCACATGTCGATCTTCCAGGGTTCCCACCAGACCCATCCTCTCAGCCAGACCCAGGAAGCCAGGCTGCCACCTCCACCTCCAAACACTCAAGCAAACAGCTCGTCACCCCTTCCCTATTTATCACATGCTCACATCAGGCAGTCACCTGCCTCCCACATACATACTGTCTGTCTGTCACATACAGATTGTGCCATCCCTCCCTCAAACACTCACTTCTTCCTCTGCTCTGGAGGCTCTAACCGAGCTGCCAGCCCAAAATCCCCCACCTTCAGTTCCATGTTCTCAGTGATGAAAAAATTTCCTAGACAGGGCCAGAGAGGTATATCAGATAACTCCCCTCCTCCCTCCCTCTTCTTCCCACCGTAGGCCCTTCCCCCCCTCCCCCCCAGGCTGATCACCAGTCTTACCCAGCTTGAGGTCTCGGTGCAAGATGCCCCGCTGGTGCAAGTACTTGAGGCCTGAAAGGATCTGCCGCAGGTAGTAGCGTACTTCTGGTTCCAACAGGGTGTGCCGAGCCTTCCAGATGTGGGCCAGAGACTGCAGAGAGCCACGGCCTCAAGCCCTGTTCACCCTCCCTGACCCTTCCCCGATAAGGGGCTGGCTGAATGAAGAAGGCAGAGCCCCACGTCTGGGTCTTTGGACAGCTTCCTCCACCCCCTTTTCTCTTCCCACCCCTGTCCCTCACCTTTCGGCTGCAAAGCTCCAGGAAAATGTAGATATTATCAGCATCCTCGAAGTGGTGAGAAAAGCGAACGATATGGCGGTGCTGGAGGTCTCGGTGCAACTCAATCTCGTTTAGGATCTGCGATGGGGGAGCCGGGTCGTTATCTTCGCGGGGCTCCCCAGCCACTCTCCCCTCCCCAACCCTCGCCCCTCTGCGCCGGGTCCCACCTTCTCGCGTTGATGCGGCTTGGCGACGCGGCTCTGCGGGATGACTTTGACGGCGTAGGCGCCGCCAGTCTCCGTGTCGGTGGCTTCGTAGCAGCGGGCGAAGCCCCCCTAGGAGAAGGGCGCATCAGGCCGGGCGCTCCAGAGGCTGGTTCTGGCCCGCAGACGCCCCCACATTAGGGCCCAGCGTACCCCGCCTACCCGGCAGGACTCCCTCTCACCCCACACAGCCCCCGGCCCACCTTGCCCAGCAAGCGCCCTTTGAAGTAGGTACGGCCGCTGCGCGGGTCGGTGATGAGGCGCCCGGGGTCCGGCGCCGGGGTCCCGGCCAGCATCTCTGGCTCGGATCCGGGCGAGACACTAGGAGGTGGTCCCGGTCCGGCGGGAGGCGCAGGCGGGGCGGCAGCACGCGGGAACGGGCGCGGGGACAGGAAGCCGGCGGCGGGCTCCATCCCGGCGGCGCGCAGCAGCGCGAGCCCGTCTGGTTCTCGGTTCCGCCCGGCCCCAGCCGCGCGTGGCGCTGCCAGGTTTCGTTACGCTGCGCTCGCGCCCAAGGGAGGCTGGCGTTTTTATCAATGAAGGCCTGCCCCCTCCCTAGTCCTACGTCACCACGAGCCCCGCCCTCTTCCTGAGGGCGAGTCAGGGGAAAGCCTCGCCCACTGCCCGGCCCTGCGTCACTCTGAAGCTCCACCCACCGGCGCACTTTCAGGCTCCGCCTTCTGATCCTGCCTTAAAGCCACAGTGCTCGTCACGCAGCTTGCTGGTGCGGCACCACCCTGTCCTGGTGACCGCGTGTCCTGCTAATGGCAGCCTCTTCCTTTCCCTATTTTTCGGGACACAAGTTGAAGTCAGAGTCGGGGTCTGAGAACTAGGAAAGGAAAGGCACGCCAGGAGTGGCGCTCACTGTTTCTTGGGCAGGTCAACGATTCATCTTTTCGTGTGTAGTATCCTGTGAGCTAGCCAGATGCTGGCCCAGTGCTGCCCCCTTTAGAACTAAGGAGAAGCACACCCTAGAGCCTGGCTTGCCTGGCTAGTCTGGCTGCAGGACTCCATGCTGGCTTTGGTGGGCTGAGTCTAGAAGTCAAGACTTCCCCCCACACACCCTGCCCCTGGTTTGAACTCTGGGCCTGGGCGCTGTCCCTGAGCTCTTCAGCTCTAGGCGAAAGCTCTACCACTTGAGCCACAGTGCCACTTCTGGTTTTCTAAGTGGTTTATTGGAAATAGAGTCTCTTCCTGCGGGGGCTGGCTTTGAACTGCTATCCTCAGATCTCAGCCTCTTGAGTAGCTAGGATTACAGGCCGTTCAAGACTTTTTATCACGGAAGTGGCGCTGTAGCTCAACTGGTAGAGCGCTTGCCTTGAGCTGAAGAGCAGAGGGACAGCGCCCAAGCCCAGAGTTCAAGCCCCACGACCGACCAAAAAAAAAGTCCCACATCTTCTGCTACCTACTCCTACATACTCCCCCCCCCCTTTTTTTTTTTTTTATTTTGGTGGAGGGAGAGAGCATGCTAAACACATGCTCAACCTCTAAGCTATACATCTAGCCCCTTGAAATTTATAGATCCTTTTTCGGGTGGTGTTATTTCTGCATCCTTGCAGATCTTAGGCTCCTATGGGATTTTTAACCCTTATGAAGTACCCATTGCTTTTCATTCTAGTGAAAAATGGAAATTACAGAGTTTCAGATGTTAGGGGCTGTAGGCAGTTAGTTTTGGGTTCTCCAGGAGCAGTAGGACCCTGCTTCAAGACCCACCCTTCCTAGGGTGAGAGTCAGAGATAGGGTTGAAATACCTCTGGAAAATGTAAATTTATCCCAAGGTGACAAGACTTTTGTTGTTGTTGAGGTTTTGGTTTAATTTGCCCATCTATATGTACAATGTTTTTTTTTTTTGCTGGGAGGGGAGGGGGAGGGAGGGGGTGGGGGGTGGGGGGGGACTGGGACTGCGGCTTGTACTCAGGGCCTTTGTGCTATATCTTACCTTTTTCACTCAAAGCTAGCATTCTACCACTTGAGCCACAGTTTCACTTTTCTGCTCGTTAATTGGAGATAAAACTCTCACAGGCTTTCTTATCTAAGCTAGCTTCAAACCTCAATCCTCAAGCTTCAACCTCCAGAGTAGCTAGGATTACAGATGTGTGCTACTGGCATCCAGCTATACAACCGCATCAACAACAGTAAGAGTCTTACAACAATAAGAGTTGCCCCTTACATCCTCTCCCCTGCCCCAGGCCTCCTATTGATCTCCTAGTATCCCTCAGCTCTCTTTTCACTCTGGTGCATCCAATCTATTACTAAACCATTCAGACCTCTGAAATTTTCGAAAAGTGCTAGGCTTAGAATAAGAATGGACAAGATTACAACCCTCCTACAGTTTACTTGATTCTGCTTTAGGGAAATAGATACTAGACAAGTATATAAACAAAGTAATTGTAGGCTGTGAAGGAAGTAAACGAAAGAACAAAACACCTACTCCAGTATGAGCAGCCTGCAAAGTCAACAAATACTTGTACCTCATTCCTGCCAAGTTTATCTCGCTAATATCTCGTAAGTATGCACTTGGATCTGTCTTCCCCTCACACACTGACTGGGCGGGGTCAGTCTCTTGTCTCAGCACCTTGCAGGTCTCCCAGCCTCTGGCTCACCTCCATTTCCAGTCAGAAGTCCCATCTATTCTCAACAGACCCTCTGGGAACTAACTTCACGCTTTCCCTTCATGGTCACCAAAGGGAGACTCCAAACAGCCTAAGATGTGGAAAGTTACAAATACTGTAGGTAAATGAGGGGGCAGGGGGTGTGGTGGGCAGGAAGGGCTTGAGTGCCATGCTCAGAAATTCTTTTCTTTTTTTGTCATTTGTGAAGCTTGAACTCTGGGCTTGAGCACTGTCCTTCACCTCAAGCCTAGCGCTCTACCATTTGAGCCACAGTGCCACTTCCAATTTTCTAGTGGTTTATTGGAGATAAGAGTCTCACAGACTTTTCTGCCTGGGCTGGCTTTGAACCATGATCCTCAGATCTCAGCCTCCTGAGTAGCTAGGATTACAGGTGTGAGCCACCAGCTCCCGGTAGGGATTTGGTCTTTATCCTCACAGGTCAGCAATTCACCAAGAGATAGAAGTAGTGAGGCTAGAAAGAATAGACTCCCCAGAGTAAATAGGACTAAAGTCTGTAGCACCTCAAAGGAACTTCAATATTACATTATTATAGCATTAAATCCAGAGCTTGTGCATGCTATGCAAGTGCTTTAACACTGACCTACATTTCCAGCCTAGTGTTGCAGTGTGTGTGTGCGTATGTGTGTTCATGTGCACGGGTGCTCATCCTAGGGCTCGAATTCAGAATCTGAGTACTGTCCCATGGCTTTTTCTTTCAAGGTTGGCCTTCTACCACTTGAACCACAGCTCTACTTTTATTTATTTATTTATTTTTGCTGGTGAAATGGAGTTAAAAGTCATATGGACTTTCCTGTCTGGACTGGCTTCAAACCACAATCCTCAGATCTCAGCATCCTGAGTAGGATTTCAGGTGTGAGCCACCAGCACCTGGCTTATATTTCAACTATATATATATATATATAATATATATATATATATACACATATATATGTATATATATGCATATATATACATATATATAAATAGATTTTTTAAATTTTATTTTATTGTAAAGATGCTGTACAGAGGGGTTACAGTTACATGAGTAAGGTAATGAGTACATTTCTTGTCAAACATTGTTATCCCCCCCTTTGTTTTTTTTCCTACTACCCTTTCCCTCTCCCACTTCCCCCACTTCTCCCTCATTTTATATTTGAAAAACAAATCCAAACATCTCTGTATTAGGTTGCTAGAGCTGCCATGACAAAATACCATATGGATTTAAGCCATAGAAATTTATGTTAGTAATTCTAGAGGCTGCAAGTCCAAGATAAAGATTTAATTGATTTCTAGGTGTTTTCTCCTCTGTTGGTCTCTGTCTCTGTCTGTCGGTGTCTCCCCCCCCCCCCCCCCCCCCCCCCCCCCCGCCGTGCTTTATCAGTTTGTTTGGGAAAGGGTTTTTGGTTCTTGTTTGAGACAACATCTCTCTATGTAGAACCTGAAATTCTCCTGCTTCTGATTCTCAGGATTATTATAGTTGTGTACCACCACACCCAACTAGGACTGGTATTTTGGGGGGCCTTTCATATGATCTTTATCTCAGTCTGGGTACCTTTTTGTTTTGTTTTGTTTTGTTTTTGTTTTTTGTCAGTCATGAGGCCTGAACTCTGGGCCTGGGCGCTGTCCCTCAGCTCTTCAGCTCAAGTCTAGCGCTCTACCACTTGAGCCACAGCGCCACTTCCGGCTTTTCTGCTTCTGTGGTGCTGAGGAATTGAACCCAGGGCTTCATGCATGCGAGGAAAGCGCTATACTATTGATCCACCTTCCCAGTCCTCAGTCTATGTACCTTTGTATTGTCGTGTAAATACTAATCCTTTTAAAGGACTCCAGTCAGATTGGATTAGGGTTTACCTTCATAGCCACATTTTAACTTAATTATCCTTTTGAAGGCCCTAACCAAACACTATATTCAGAGGTACTGGGGGTTAGATATTCAAAATATGACTTGAGTGAATTGGTAGAGGACACGGTTTAGTTCATACAGCCTCTTATTTATTTATTTATGTACTTTTATTGTGAAAATACCATACTGAGGTGTTACAATTACATGGGCAAGGTAATGAGTTACATTTCTTTATTTTGGGGGGTTTTTTTTGGGTCTGGTCGTCGGGCCTGAACTCTGGGCCTGGGCGCTGTCCCTCAGCTCTTCAGCTCAAGGCTAGCACTCTAGCTCTTGAGCCACAGCGCCACTTCCGGCTTTTTTTTCTGCTTATGTGGTGCTGAGGAATCGAACCCAGGGCCTCATGCATGCAAGGCAAGCGCTCTACCACTGAGCTACCTTCCCAGCCCCTAATGAGTACATTTCTTACCAAGCATTGCTGCCTCCTCCTTTGTTTCCTCTTCCCATCCCTTCCCGTCCCTCCGCCCCCCCCCACACCAGCCTCTTATTTATTTATTTAGTGCTTGTTCTGAGGCTTGAACTCAGGGCCTAGCTCCTGTCCCCGAGCTTTTGCGTTCAAAGGTAGAGCTCTACCATTTGACCATTTGAGCCTCAGCTCTCTTCTGGGTGTGTGTGTGTGTGTGTGTGTGTGTGTGTGTGTGTGTGTGTGTGTGTGTGTGTGTGTGTGTGTGTCTGTGTGTCTGTGTGTGTCTGTGTCTGTGTGTCTGTGTCTGTGTGTCTGTGTCTGTGTCTCGGTCATGGTGGGGTCCCTCAGTCTGGGCGCTGTCCCTCAGTTCTTCAGCTCAAGGCAAATGCTCTACCACTTTGAGCTACAGCACCAATTCCAGTTTTCTGGTGGTTAATTGGAGATAAGAGTCTCACAGACTTTCCAGCCCAGGCTAGCTTTGAACCTTGAACCTCAGATATCAGCCTCCTGAGTAGCTAGGATTACAGGCATAAGCCACTGGTACCCAGCTTTCTTTTTTGTTTTTTTTTTTTGTGATTTTTAAGTTTTGCACAAGGGATCTAGCCCAGTGCCTTGTACTTGCTAGGCAAACATTTTATCACTCTACCACTGAACTATACCTGTTTGCTCATGGCTTTTTTTTTTTTTTCTTTTTTTTGTCAGTCATGGGCCTTGAACTCGGGGCCTGGCACTGTCCTTGAGCTTTTGTGCTCAAGGCTAGTGCCTACCACTTTGAGCCATAGCTCTACTTCTGGCTTTTAGGCAGCAGCAAGTTGGAGATAAGAGTCTCAAGCTGGGTTCTGGTGGCTCATGCCTGCAATCCTAGGGAATCAGGAGGCTGAGATAGTGATTCATAGCCAGCACAAGCAGGAAAGTCTGAAAGACTCATCTCCAGTTAACCACAAGAAAACCGGAAGTGGCACTGTAGGTCAAAGTAGTAGAGCCCTAACCTTGAGTGAAAGAGCTCAGGGACAACACCCAGGCCCTGAGTTCAATCCCCACAACAGACAAAAAAAGGGTGGGGGGGCACGAGTGGCTCACGCCTGTAATCCTAGCTACTCAGAAGGCTGAGATTTGAGGATTGCAGTTCAAAACCAGCCTGAGCAGGAAAGTCCGTGAGACTCTAATTTCCAATAAGCCAATAGAAAACCAGAAGTGACGCTGTGGCTCAAGCAGTAGAGCGCTCACCTTGTGCTGAAGAGTGCAGGGACAGCACCCAAGCCCTGAGTTCAAGCTCCACAACCAACCAAAAAAAAAAAGGGGGGGGGGAAGAACCTGGGAATGTGACTTAGTGGTAGAGTGCTTGCCTTGCATGCATGAGGCTCTGGGTTCGATTCTTCAGCACCACATAAACAGAAAAAGCTGGAAGTGAGCCTTGGCTTAAGTGGTAGAGTGCTAGGTTTGAGCAAAAAGAAGTTCAAGGATACCATCCAGGCCCTGAGTTCATCAAGCTCCAAGACTGTCAAAAAAAAAAAAAAAAGTCTCATGTACTTTTCCTGCAGGATTTGGCTTTGAACCATGATTCTAAAATTTCTGGGGGCTGGGAAGGTGGCTTAGTGGTACAGCGCTTGCCTTGCATGCATGAGGCCCTGGGTTCGATTCCTCAGCACCACATAAACAGAAAAAACCGGAAGTGGTGCTGTGGCTCAACGTGGTAGAGTGCTAGCCCTGAGCTGAAGATCTGAGGGACGGCGACCAAGCCGAGTTCAAGCCCCGCAACTGACAAAAAAAAAAAAAAAAAAGTACTTGTGATAAATAAATAAATACATAATTGAAAGCTTATGAAGCCAGGCACTACTGGCTCACGCCTGTAATCCTAGCTACTCAGGAGGCTGAGATCTGAGGATTGTGGTTCAAAGCAGGCAAGTTCAGGCAGAAAAGTCCATGAAACTCTTCTCTCCAATTAATGATCTCAAAGCCAGACATGGAACTGTGGATCAAGTGGCAGTGCTAGCCTTGAACACAGAAGTTCAGGGAGAGTACCCAGCCCCTGAGTTCAAGCACCACAATCAACAAAAATATCAAACAGCCAGTTGCCAGTGGCTCATGCCTATAATCCTAGCTACTCAGGAGGCTGAGATCTGAGGATCTTGGTTCAGAGGCACCGTGGGCAGGAAACTCCTTGAGACTCTTATCTCCAATAAACCACTAGAAAACTGGAAGTGGAGCTGTGGCTCAAAGAGTAGAGTGCTCGCCTTGAGTTGAAGAGTGCAGGAAAAACGCCCAGGTCCAGAGTTCAAGCCCCATGACCGACCAAAAAAAAAAAAATCAAAATCTTCTGAATCCAGAGTCTCATCCTTGTTAGGGAAATGCTCTGTTGCTGAGCTTCAGTTCCAGGCCACTGTCCTTTTTGGAGCTCCACTGTCCTGTAGCTTTCCTTTGCGGAAGGAATTTAACAAGGTGCTTGAACCCTCCTCCTGGAGTCAGGATATCAGGATGTGTTTTTGGATGCTGTAATTCAGGGGTCTGCCACAGCCTCCTCTCACTATGTAAACAGCTCCCCATCCATGGATCTAATGTAGCTTCTATGTTTCAGGCACTGGCCAGGCATTTATCTTTGTGTGTGTATATGTGTGTGGTTTTTTTTTGTTTTTGTTTTTGGTTATGGTGCTTGAACTCAGGGCCTGGTTGCTGTCCCTGAACTCTTTTGCTCAAAGCTAGCATTCTACCACTTGGAACCATAGCTCCACCTCTGGTTTTTTGGTGGTTAATTGGAGATAAGAGTCTTTTGGGCTTTCCTGCCTAGGCTGACTTTGAACCATGATCCTCAGATCTCAGCCTCCTGAGTAGCTAGGATTACAGGTGTGAGCTTCCAGTGCTGGGCTGTATTTATCATATTGATGGTTCACTGTAACCTTATCATATGGATGTGATTTTGTTATCCTCACTGTATAGATGAGAAAACTGAAGTCCATCTAGTCACAGTTTGACTTTTCTGCAGTCATGGTGGGTTCCTGTCTTTGAACCTGTCCCTTTCTTACACTGACCCATATACTGCTGAGATTTTCTGAGGTCTCTGGGTTTCCATCCCCCAAAGATGCTATTAGATGTGATACCCTGTTGAGCACATGTCCCAGAATCCCTGTCACTTCAGCACCTCAGAGAAGAGAAGAAGGAGACTGAGAAATGTGAGGAAGGCTAGCACTTAGGAGGGGTTATTAGAGAGTAATCTCAGGGATCCTTGGTGTGTTCTATAGCCCACAGTAAAGTATGAGCTAATAGGCTAAAGCAGGAAGATGATGAGTTCAAGGCCAGCTTAGACTACTACATCATGAGACCTACCTCAACCCCCAAACCTAACAACAACAAAAAACCCTGCTAATATCTAGAGCACACTTCAGGTTTACCATTGTGCTATTCTGAACCATTTATACGGTTAACTCACTTAATAATCACAACTAAGGTTGGCATAATTGTATCCATTTCTCCAGGAGTTCAGTGGCTTGCCCAAGGTCGAGGCTCATCTGATTCGTGTGTGAGAGGAGGGAAGGGCAACGGAGGGCAGGACTTGCAGAGAGGGAGAAACAGTGCCCAGGGGTAAGCAGGGTGGGGCTGGTGATTTATGGGCTGTAAGGTTCCCTCTCCCGGACCATAAACTGGGAGTCATGGGTCCTGTGCACAGTGGGAAGGGAGATAAGGTGATTCCGGAAGGCAGGGTGAGTGGCCCTTCCTGGGATGGAGGCCTTCAGGTCATATCACTTTGCCTTGGCTCTGTGGGAAATTCACAGACCTGAGCGCTGGTAGCAGAGTGCTGCACAGAATCTCAGTGCAGTCACCCCAGCTGGGCTGCCCTGGGGAGCTGCCAGCCACACCCAGAACCTGGCTGCCCAAGACCTAGAACATCTTTGAGTGGTTAGCAGCCCACAATGCCCAAGGAAAGGTGCAGATCCAAGCTGTGGAAGAGGCTGCATGGGCCCCGATGGCTGAGGCTCTGAACCCTTCTTACCCTCTGAAGCTCAGGTTCTGATCACATGTGTGCGGTGTGAGCACACGCATGCTCACACACACACACACACACAGAGTATTTTTCTTTACTCTTGGAGATTTCTCATCTAAAAGGAGGACATAACTCCAGTCAGGCCATGAGTAGGTTTTCAGACCATGACTCATCTGAGAAAAGGCATGGGAGGTTGACAGTGGTAAAACTGAATGTCTTTCATGTTAAAAATAGAGAGAGAGAATGGAAAGAGAAAGCGAGAGAGAGAAAGACAGAGAGAGAGAAAGGGAGGGGAAAGGGAGGGAAGAAAAGAAGTCTTCAGGTTTCAAGTACTCTTTGATGGAAGGGGCTGGGAAGGTGGCTCAGTGGTAAAGCGCTTGCCTTCATGCTTGAAGCCCTGGGTTCGCTTTCTCAGCACCACATAAGCAAAAAAGAAAAAAGCCAGGAGTGGCGCTGTGGCTCAAGTGGTAGAGCGCTAGCCTTGAGCTGAAGAGCTGAGTGACAGCGCCCAGGTCCAGAGTTCAGACACCATGACTGGACCAAAAAAAAAAAAAAAAAAATCTTTGATGGAGGTTACAGGCATGTACCACCTTGCTAGGCATTTCTTCCTGGGTTACCATTCATCTATCTGCATGCTGTCTGTATTGTATAATCCACGGCATAGAGATTTTACTATTCCTTTTCTCCTTTGGTTGGAGCCTGGTAAATTAGAGACAAAACTGGTATAAGAGAGTGAAGAAAACTAGTTCTGAGCTGTATCTTGAAGGAGCAGTTAAAAATGAGGTAGGCCAGGGCTGGGAAGTTGTCTCAGTGGTAGAGTACTTGCCTTGCATGCATGAGGCCCTGGGTTCAATTCCTCAGCACCACATAAGCAGAAAAAGCCAGAAGTGGTGCTGTGGCTCAAGTGGTAGAGCACTCGCCTTGAGCTGAAGAGCTGAGGGACAGCGCCCAGGCCCAGAGTTCAGGCCCTATGACCGGAACCAAAAAAAAAAAAAAAAAAATGAGGTAAGCCTCATTTGGGGTGTAGCTCAGTGGTAGAGAGTGTTTAGCTTGCCCAAATCTAGGTTGAATATGGAAAAGCTCCCACCTCCATAACTGCTGCAAAATAAATACATAAATAAAAAGCTAGATTAGAGGATCATAATGGGAGTAGATGGGTGACTCGCAGAGAACCTAGGATGTAGCACCTTTGGCTGTGGGGCCAGGCTGACAGAGCATCCGGAGAAAGGTCTCTGCCTCCTCATCTCTGAAACACTTTCTGGTTCAGAAAAGCTTGGGAGGTACCAGTGAACAAGTAGGTGGAAACGAAAGGAACAGATCTGACTCGTAGCAATCCCAGCTGAGTGCGCACTGTGCACCAAGCTTCCAGGCATTGTTCGAATACTCATAATTGCCTTTGAGGTAGGCGTCATCCATTGTGCTTTGTGAAGGAAGGAACTGAGGTTCAGAGAGGTTAGGTAACTTGTACAAGGCTACAGAGAGCTGAAATTCAGACCTATATAAGCCCAAGCTTATAACCACTTGTCCACAATTGTTATTTATATTTTTGTTTTTTGTCAGTCCTGGGACTTGAACTCAGGGCCTGGGCGCTGACCCTGAGCCAGTGCTCAAGGCTAGTGCTCTACCATTTGAGCCACAGCACCACTTCCATTTTTTTCCACTGGTGCTGGGCTTCCATGCTTCCTCTTTTTAGGAAATGCTTCATGGGTGATGATTAGCTCACCGTGTAGGGAAAGAGATACCTAAAACAGGTGGGAGGTGGGAACAAAAGTCCTGGGATTTTGCAAATGACTTGAGCACTGAGAAAGTACAGTAGCTACCTCGATCTCAATCTCTTCCTGTTTTTATTATTTATTTATTTATGCCAATTCTGGGGCATGAACTCAGAGCCTGGACACTGACCCAGGCTTTTTGCTCAAGACTAGGCACTCTACCACTTGAGTCACAGTGCCACTTCCAGCATTTTCTGTTTATGTGGTACCGAGGAATCAAACACAGGGCATCATGCATGCTAGGCAAGCATTCTACCACTAAGCCACATTCTCAGTCCCTGGTTTGTTTGTTTAGTCAATCATGGGGCTTGAACTCTGGGCCTGGGCACTGTCCATGAGCTCTTCAACTAAAGGCGAGAGCTCTACTACTTGAGCTACCGCATCACTTCCGGTTCTCTGGTAGTTAGGGATAAGAGTCTCACCGTCTTTCCTGCCTGGGCTGGCTTTTAACTGTGATCCTCAGATCTCAGCCTCCTGAGTAGCTAGGATTACAGGCTTGAGCCACCAGCACCCAGCCCTGGTTTTATTTTATTATTATTCTTTTTTGATGTGGGTGCCAGGACCTGAACTCAGCCTCACACTCTTGCTTAGCTTTGTCACTTAAGGCTGGCACTCTGCCACTTGACTCAAGTTCTACTCTCGGGCTTTTTTTTTTCTGGTTAATTAGAGATAAAGGTCTTGTGGGCGGGGGAGGATGGGATAGGAAGGGGAAACAAAGGAGGAGGCAACAATGCTTGATAAGAAATGTACTCATTACCTTGTCCACATAATTGTAACCCCTCTGTACGGTATTTTCACAATAAAAAAAATTTTTTTTAAAGGTCTCTTAGATTTGCCTACCAGGATGGATTAAAACCATGATCCTCAGATCTTAGCCTTCTGAGTAGCTTGGATTACAGGCATGATCCACCAGTGTCTGGCTGGGGGTTTTGTTCCTAATTAGGTCAGTGCCTTCTGTGTGACAGATAAAGAAATGGAAGCACTTTGAAATTTTGTCTCAAAAACAAAGGGAGAAAGGAGTAACAATGCTTGAGAGGAAATGTATTCATTACCTTATTCATGTAACTATAACCCCTGTGTATCTTTTTTTTTTTTGGCCCATTGTGGGCCTTGAACTCTGGGCCTGAGCACTGTCCCTGCACTCTTCAGCTCAGGGCCAGTGCTCTTGAGCCACAGTGCCACTTCCGGTTTTCTAGTGGTTTATTGGCGATAAGAGTCTCATGGACTTTCCTGCTCGGGCTGGCTTTGAACCGTGATCCTTAGATCTCAGCCTCCTGAGTAGCTAGGATTATAGGTGTGAGCCACTGGTACCCGGCTACCCCTCTGTATCTTTACAATAAAAAATATATTAAAAAAAAAACAAAGAGAGAAAGAAAAAAGAAAGAGAAAAAGGAGAGAAAGAAAGAGGAAAGAAAGAAAGAAAGAAAGAAAGAAAGAAAGAAAGAAAGAAAGAAAGAAAGAAAGAGGAAAGAAAGAAAAGCGAAGAAAAGAAGGAAGGAAGGAAGGAAGGAAGGAAGGAAGGAAGGAAGGAAGACAGTCTCTGGGCACAATTAGGAGTCAAGATGTTGGACATGGCACTTAAAGGTGTGTGTACTAAGAGCCTGAGTTCCAAGATTTGTGGCCTTGTCAGGCCTGTGACAAAGGGCTGGGGAAAGAGCCTTTAAAGTCCACCAGCACTGGCTTCGACTCTTGTCTCCAGCATGACCTTGCTGTGTGATGTGACTATGGGCAAGTCATTCATCTCTTGGAGCCTAATCTGTGAAGTGGGTTGACTCCTACCTCCTGGGGTGGATGAGGATTCTGGGAGAGGGTGATAGGGCAGTGCCCTTCTCAGTGCTGTGATCATCAGCTGGTATTTTAATAGTTTATCCTGAGTCTGTCTTCTCAGGATGATCGTTATCGCAGTCACACTGACTTGAAGGACATAGGGTCATCTGTATTGAGCTGTGGAGTCAGGGAAGATGGCACTTCTGCCACCCAATGACCAGCCCCACCCTGCAGGAGTAGGAAGACAGCCAAGTTCCCAGGACCAGGGGAAGTTGGGTGACAGCCTCAATCCATCAATGATAACCTCATTCCAGTATAACTTTATGGATCCAGTAGATACTTAAACTTGTGAGGAGTGAAAACTGGTTCAGTTTTTCCAGGCTGCTGCGCTGAGAAGGTAGGCAGGATGAAGGGAGATGAATAGGCTCTAGGCTTTGAGAGACCAGATATGCAGGTTCCAGAGCAAAGCCCCAGGGAAAAGTGTGGTTCTAGGTTGGAATGGAATTGGGCCTTTTTCTTTTCTTTTTCCCCTTGAGTCAGGGTCTTGCTATATAAGTCAGGCTGAACTCTGACTCAAGATCCTCCTGCCTCAGCCTTGCAAGTGCTAAGGTTACAGGTGTGTGAGAAGCTTGGGGCCTTGCTGTCAGTTCAGGATTTGATTACTTATTTCTACAGGTGGAAGAACTCAGGCTCATTTGCCCAACTTCATCCTGGCTTCACCTTTGCTCTGCAGGGGATGGGTTGTACTTTGTCTGCCCTGCAGCTTTCTGCCCCCAATGTCTACAGACAGAGTAAAGGTTGGGATGTGGGTAACAAGAGGTGACAAGCATGGCAAGCTAAGCTTAGTGATGTCCTCAGAGAGGACAGATCTGTGACCTCTTGCCCTAGGCACCAGCACCATGACGGTTTCATACACCCTTAAAGTGGCAGAGGCGCGCTTTGGAGGCTTCTCGGGCCTGCTCCTGCGCTGGAGGGGCAGCATCTACAAACTCCTCTACAAGGAGTTCCTGCTCTTCTCTGCCCTGTATGCCATACTCAGCATCGCCTACCGGTAAGGGAGACTTTCAGGGCTGGACTAGCCTGTGAGGGCCTAGGCTGCCTGTACCCTCTAACCCAGCCTTACATCTGTTCTTCTTTAGGCTGCTGCTGACCCAGGAACAGAAGCATGTGTATGCCCAGGTGGCCCGGTACTGCAACCGCTCAGCAGAGCTCATCCCCTTGTCCTTTGTATTGGGTGAGGCCCCCTTCTGGTTCTCTCTAGTGTCCTGTTTCCCCTGACTCTAGCTAACAGCAGTGAACAGCTGGAGTCAACTAGTGCAAGCAGGCCTAAGTGAAGGGCCCAGGGGGGCTACAGCCTGCTGGTCATTTGCTAGATCATCACTCTGCACAGACATGTACACCTGCTCATCTCAGAACCCCACTCAGGGTACTGAAGAGCAGCTGGGAAGAGGTGACAGTCCCTTCCCACGCTGACTGGAAACAGATGTCAGGGTTAACTGTCCCCTGGCCTTGAACTCCTCTACTTCCCCTCTTCCCAAGAGGTTTGCCCTTCCCTCTCCTGTCCTGTCCCAGCAGGGTGGTGGGACCAGAGACAGAGTTGCTGAAGCTGAAAATGTCCTCTCTGGGTTCAAGACCCAGGCGAGGGCCTCTGTGGGTGGGGGTAGGATAGGGTAGTGCAGGGTGGGCGAGGCCCTCCTCGTGGCCTGCTTCCTGTCCCCACCACCCATGTGGGCTCCCCAGGTTTCTACGTGACCCTGGTGGTCAACCGCTGGTGGTCTCAGTACACCAGCATCCCGCTGCCAGACCAGCTGATGTGCGTCATCTCAGCCAGTGTGCACGGCGTGGACCAGCGTGGCCGCCTGCTCCGCCGCACCCTCATCCGCTATGCCAACCTGGCCTCGGTGCTGGTGCTGCGCTCCGTGAGCACCCGCGTGCTCAAGCGCTTCCCTACCATGGAGCACGTGGTGGACGCAGGTTCGTGGCCGACTGGGGGTGGGGGGGGGGCGGGGGGAGTTTTGGGGCAGGAACCCTCTGGAATCTGGAAGTCTGGCGGGGTGGGGTGGTGGGAGGGGAGGGGGAAGGGGGCGTTTTAGGGCCCCCTGACGGCAAGCTCCGGGACTGCGGGTGGATGCGCAGGAGGGAGGGCAACTGTACAATGCTCCCCCTGGTGGCAGAGGATGTGCCTGCACCCACTTCACCCTGGCAGGTTTTATGTCCCAGGAGGAGAGGAAAAAATTTGAGAGCCTGAAATCCGACTTCAACAAATACTGGGTCCCCTGTGTCTGGTTCACTAACTTGGCGGCCCAGGCTCGCAAGGATGGGCGAATTCGTGATGACATCGCTCTTTGTCTTCTTCTGGAAGTGAGTCAGTCCAGGATCAGGGCTCCTGGCCTTCCATACTCCAGTCATACGAATAATTTTGGAATGATTTGATACTTAACACTTAAATGGCACTAATTATATAGTGTCAAACACTCTTGGAAGCATGTACTTATATTAACTTAGCTCTGGAAACAACTCTTGAGCTGGGTACAGTTACCATCCCCTTTTCCCAAACCAAGAAACTGAGGCACTAGTAGAAAAGCTAGTTAGTTGTCTCCACAGCTAGTTAGTGGAGATGTGATCCACAGTCATTCTGGCTCCAGGACCTGTGTTAGCCAAGACGTTGTTAATTACTTCCTATCACAGGCACCCCAGATTGATAACCCCAGATTGAGCCTCAGGTTTGCCCAGGTCTGCTTTATGCTCCCTGTTCTCTTCCTATCTTCCTCCTCAGCTCTGCTGACCTCCTTTTCCTGCTGTTCCACCAGGAGCTGAACAAGTACCGTGCCAAGTGCAGCATGCTGTTCCACTATGACTGGATCAGCATCCCACTCGTCTACACCCAAGTAACTGCTTCTCCCCTGTTCAGTCCCAGTGCTTCTGCATGTCCTGGGCCTTGTGAGATACCAAGGAGGATTGAGAGATGGTCCTTGCTAGTTCAATATTGCGAGGCACTTTATAGTCAAGGGCTTATTCCTCAAAGTATCTCTTCCTTCTTGGCAAGATGATCCTATCTCCATGGTTGCCCCTACCCCATTATATGTTTAATTACTTATCAGATTCCCCCCAGGTCAAGGCAAGAATGGTACTCCTGGTTTTCCCTTCTCTAGGTGGTGACGATAGCTGTATACTCCTTTTTTGCTCTCACTCTGGTTGGCCGGCAGTTTGTAGAGCCAGAGGCAGGGACTGAAAAACCTCAGGAGCTTGAACCAACGCCAGCCCTGGGGAACCTGGACATGTATGTCCCTCTCACTACACTGCTGCAGTTCTTCTTCTATGCTGGCTGGCTCAAGGTGGGCACTTCAAATGATCCTATCAGCCTGCTCCAGAGATGTGGGCACAGATAACCACTGTCACACTCTTAACACTGGGGACAGAGGGACTCTGGGCCCAGATACACTGTTTCTGCATGTAACTTACAGGTTGCAGAACAGATCATCAATCCCTTTGGTGAGGATGATGATGATTTTGAGACTAATCAACTTATAGACCGAAACTTGCAGGTGTGTGGGGCAGGGATCGAGGTGTGGAGCTGGGGTCTAGGGGTGGCTGCTTGGCTCCCTCACCCCAGTAGCTCAGTCCAGGTGGAGGAAGAAGGAAAACCCTTGCCATGTGCTGCCTGCCCTTCTGCTGGTCCAGGTGTCCCTACTGTCTGTGGATGACATGTACCAGAACCTGCCTCCAGCAGAGAAGGACGCATACTGGGATGAGGACCAGCCACAGCCACCCTACACAGTGGCCACAGCGGCCGACTCACTGCGGCCTTCCTTCCTGGGTTCCACCTTCAACTTGAGGTAAGTAGCCTGCACTTTCCTGGCCTCCCGCTGGAGCAATAAAGACTCCACCAGAAGCCAGTGTCAGAGGCTCACACCTGTAATCCTAGCTATTCAGGAGGCTGAGATCTGAGGATCATGGTTCAAAGCCAGCCCAGGCAGGAAAGTCTGTGAGACTCTTATCTCCAATAAACCACCAGAAAACTGGAAGTGGCACTGTGGCTCAAGTGGTAGAGCTCTTAGCTCTTGCTTTGAGATAAAGAGCTGAGGGATAGTGCCTAGGCCCAGAGTTCAAGCCCTATGACTGACTACTACCCCCACCCCCCCCCCCCAAAAAAAAACAAGAGTGCAATCCCCCATTGCTGGCTGGACTCAAGATCTACCCTCCTGTCCTCAGAATGAGTGATGAACTGGAGCAGAGCGTGCAGGTGGAGTTATCCCCGAGGTTGGCTGGGCCAGCGCCCGCAATGCAAACCCCATTGCTCAGCCGCTTTCTGGGGGCAGGTGCACCCTCTCCTGCCATCAGCCTCCGGAACTTTGGCCGCCGGGTTGTCCCCCGGACTCCCCATCTGCTGCGCTTCAGAGGTGAGGAGGGAGGAGACTCTGAGACTGCTGAACGCATTGAGGAAGAAGCAGTGGCAGAGTCCCCAGATGAACCCCTGGGACCCTGAGACTTACATCCCTGTGGTTTAGAGTTGCCCCCCAAGACAGGCCAGCCCAAGGTGTGCTGGCCAGGGTGAGGGAAATGGAATTTGGCACAAAAGACCGGTAACTGGCCTACAAGGAGTGAGGCCTGTATTGCCTGGGGCTTGTCCACTGCTAGACGCCCCTGAGGTTTCCTGATACTCATTTTGAGATGGGGCACAAGAAGTGTCACTGATAGCAGCTGTGTTGCTGGTCTTGGGGTGACAGCTTAAGTCATGTATGAAAAATGTATAGAAGGATATACTTCTGCTTGATAACCTAACTAGAAAAGGCACAGAATGTACTAGAACTTTTTAACTGTTGTGAGAATATAAATATGCTGATTAGTTATCTTTGAAGGGCCTGGAGGCTGATTTAACTCCGATGGGAAGCAGTCCCACTAGATTGGTTTTAAAACCTTGGATAACCAAAGCCATAACAAGGGCTCGGGAGGGGCTGGGAAGGTGGCTCAGTGGCAGAGCGCTTGCCCCACCGGACCCCCCCCCCCCCAAAAAAAAAAACAACAAAACAACAAGGGCTGGGAGTAGGGGATAGGGAGTAGGCTGCAGCCACTGGCACTGCTATGCAGGTTAACTTTGACTTTTCCAAACCCGCAGTGTAACACCTCCAGATATATCCCAAGGCACTTAGAAGCTTCTAGGTGCAGCTAGCCTTACTACATGGAAATGGTTATCCAAGAAAGTAGTACAGGCCAAGAATATAGAATCAGGGGGCTGGGAAGTTGGCTCAGCAGGAAGTGGCACTGTGGATCAAGTGGTAGGGCGCTAGCCTTGACCTGAAGAGCTGAGGGACAGCAATGAGGCTGAGTTCAGCCCCCACAACTGACGAAAAAAAAAAATGTAATATAGAAGCAAGACCAAATGATTAGTTGAAACCCCTTTGTACAACTATTTGAAAAACAAACAAAACCAAAAGGTAGAACTGAATCAGGTTTCCTTTGATTCAGGGTCACAGTTTAAGGCCAGCCAGGGCAGGAAAAGTACAACTAATCATCAAAAAGTTGGTAAGAGTGGTTCAAGAGCACTAATGTCCAGTGCACTTACCTGGCATACTCAAGGCCAGCTTAAACAGAAACACTGCAAAGAAAGATGGATGTCTAGCTGAATACAAGTGGCTCACACCTAAATCCTAGCTACTCCAAGCTGAGATCTGAGGATTGCAGTTTGAACCAGCCTAGGGAGGAAATTTTGTGAGACTAATCTCCAAGTACAGCAAAAAAAGCCAAAAGTGAAGCTATGGTAAAGCAGTATACTAACTTTGAGCAAAAATGAAAGCACAGCACCCCGACTTAGGTTCAAGCCCCAGTATTGACAGAAAATGGGTAAACTGTTGACAGATTAATAGCTCTTGGGGAATTGACTGTAATTTAAAGGTCTTCCCGCCCCCCCAACCCCAGTCCTGGGACTTGAACTTGGAGCGCGGGTATTGTCCCTGAGCTTGTGCTCAAGGGCAGCACTCTACCACTTGAGTCACAATGCTACTTTTTTTTTTTTTAATGTATATGGTATTGAGAATCAAACCCAGGGGACTTCATGTATGCTATGCAAGCACTCTACCACTAAGCCACATTCTCAGCCCATGCAATTGTTTTGTGACTGTACTTGTGAGGTTGACACGATCTGCCTCTCACTACTACTCATATTGAGATTGGGGAGTCTTGGTGGACTCTATATGCTGGCAGCAGCTAGAAAAAGCTGTAAAGCAGAACCGGCTATTTCTTGGATGTAGGCTAGTCTTGAGCAAAGAAACTCAGGGACAGCTCCCAGATTTGAGTTCAAGCCCCAGGACCCACACCACACACACACACACACACACACAAATTCATGGCCAGGTATTGTGGCTCATACCTGTTAATCCTAGCTACTCAGGAGTCTGAGATATGAGGATCACAGTTCAAAGCCAGCACAGGCAGGAAAGTCCGTGAGACTCTTACCTCCAATAAACCACCAGAAAAGTGGAAGTGGCCCTGTGGCTCAAGTGAGCTGAAGAGCTGAGGGACAGTGCCCAGGCCGAGTTCAAGCCCCACAACCGACCAAAAAAAAAAAAAAAAAAAAATCCCCAGAAACACAGAAAATTCCTAACACAATGTTCAAAAAAGCTGGCCCCCAGCAGAAAAGTCCCTGTGAGACTCATCACCAATAACCACTAAAAAAAACCTGGGAAGGTGGCACTGTTGCAAAAGCGGTAGAGCACTAGAGCACAAAGAGGCTCAAAGACAAAGCCTAGACCCCAAGTTCAAGCTCCAGGTTGTATAGCTTCTTGTGAATGTTTAGTGCCACTGAATTCAAAGTGATGAAAGCTGGGCACCAGTGGATCACGCCTGTAATCCTAGTTACTCAGGAGGCTGAGATCTGAAAATCACAGTTCAAAGGCAACCCAGGCAGGAAAGTCCATGACTTTTTTTTTTTGGGGGGGGGGGGGGGGTCTGGTCATGGGGGCATGAATTCTGGGCCTGGGCACTGTCCCTCAGCCCTTCAGCTCAAGGCTAGGACTCTACCACGTGAGCCACAGTGCCACTTCCAGCTTTTTTTCTTTTTGCTTATGTGGTGCTGAGGAATTGAACCCAGGGCCTCATGCATGCAAGGCAAGCGCTCTACCACTGAGCCACCTTCCCAGCCCCAGCCCATGACTCTTATCTCCAACAAACCACTAGAAAACAATGTGGTGCTGAGACTCAAGTGGTAGAGCACTAGCTTTGAGCTAAAGAGCTGAGGGACAGCACAAGGCCGAGTTCAAGCCCCATAACTGACACCCCTTCCCCAAAGAAAGCCATCAGATTCAGAACAGAGATATATCAAATGGAAGACATAGAACAATAAACACTTTTATTACATGAGCTAAGGATGGTAGATGACTTTATTTGCCTTTCCGGGCCTTGATCTTCCTCAGATAGAATTCCAGCTCCTTGCCTTCTAGCACATAGCCATCTGCTCGGCCACACTGGCCTGGTCGGGATGCAATGCAGGCTGAAAGAATACATGGTTCTTAGAAACAAATGGCAACAGGCCTCACCTCACCTACTTAACCCCCCTCCACCCACTTACTGACACCTGCCATGCATTTAAAGCCCATTGTCTCCTCAGATATACTTTGTCGTCAATTTAAATTCAGTAGCAGAACTGGACAAAGTTTTCATCACTGAGACATCTCCCGGTAGATCTGGACACTCTTTCCAAGCTATCCATGACTTCTCATTTTTGCTTTCATACCAGGTACAATACAACACCCCACCCCACCCCCATGCACGTTTGTACCCAGTTCTTTTCCACAAAACGGAACAGCCAGTTAACTCACCAAGAAGCTTCCCTTGTTGGAATTGCTCCTCTAATAGACTGCTGATTTTGGCATTCTTTTTTCTTTCATCATATTTCTTCTGAATTTTCTTGGATCGCTTTTTGTTTAAAATCTCTTCCTCCTCAGGAGTCTGAGTAAAGAGAACACTTATTAGTTTAAGGAAGAAAGGTGATTAGAGCCCGTGAGCCTTGTACTAATGCCTGCTTTTTTAGCTCTAAAGGCATGGTTCCTCCATTCAGCAACAAGTAGTTTTATCACAACAAAATCCCAGTCATAAAGGCAGCCCCCCACCTTTACACAACGTACAGATTGGCCTACAACTCACCAGCTTGGCCCCCTTCTTGCGGCCCAGGGGCAGTGCATAATGGGATTCATACCACAGCCGGTATGGTGTGCTGTCGATGAGCACAATGCAGTTCTTTACTAGGGTTTTGGTGCGGACCAGCTCGTTATTGGATGCATTGTAGACAACATCAATGATCCTTGTTTTACGAGTACAACCTGCTCACAAAAGACATAGAATTAAGTGGCTGGGGTGTAGCTCAGTGGTAGAACATTTGCCTGGCACACACCAACGAACCAGACCCTGGCTTCAATCCTCACACCTAAACCAAAACACACCGAACCACTATCACTTCAAAGATGGAGTCCAACCTTTCGGTGTCAAAGATACAACAAGCTAACCTTCACCCCCAACTACTAATCCTTTTGTAGAGGTGGTTGGTAATTGCGTGCCTGGACTCACCCCCAAATGCAGAAGGTTGGGTGGGCTCAAGTCTGACTACCTCAGTGTTTCTGTAAGGAGAAACTTTAAGAACTGGTCTAGGTGTAGCAAACTTAGTTGACCTTGTCACCCACCCATCCCGGAAGACCTACTCACACTCAGAACCCCAGGAAAAGTTGCCCACATCCAGCCTCAGAGCACGGTATTTCTTGTTGCCACCCCGAACTCGGACTGTGTGTATGCGACGGGGGCCGATCTGGAAAACAGGAACCAGGTTATCAAACTGAACGATTCTGAAAGGAAAAAGACACGTGGGCTGGACTGAGGTAGCTCAGTCAGTGTAACTATGACAAGTCCTCGCATTGGCAAGTGGTAAATAAGCAACCAAGACGGCCGCAACCACGCCTAAGGAAACTTCCTCATCACTCTAGCCACCTCCAAAGGAAAAAAAAAACCCGCAAACACTGACATCCGTATCTCCAGGCAGGCCACAATCACAAGCCTTCTGATAGTACCTGGAGCCCACCCCTGCAGTTTCCACACACAGCACCAATCTCCACCACACCAAGTCCTGGATGCCGGGCGCAGAAACCACCTTGCAAGGCTGGGAGGGCGAGGGCCCCTCCCCACCTGCATCCAGAACCACGCACCTTAGTGTTGGCGGCAGGGCGTCCCAGCTCATACTTCCGCTTCTTGTGGTAGGGTTTCCTTTTACCTCCGGTTTTGCGGCGCTTGTGCCAGTTATCCCGAGAGATGCCTGTATATGGGAGCAGGGACGCAAGCTTGAGCCACTGGGACTCGGCCGAAGTTCGCCCGCTCCAGATGCCCGCGCCCGGCGGGCCGCACGCTCAGCTCTCCAAGGTTGGCTTCCCCACAAGGCAGTCGGGAGTCTGCAGCATTACCGAATTGTCATCATACACGTGCGACCGGCCCGGGCCTCTTGACCGC